AATTATTTTTTATTTGGAATGTACATGAAGTTTTGATACCACACAAAATGGCAGGATTCTGCACGTGGATGGAAAGGTTTGGGTACGAATCTCGCTTCTTGTCTGTAGAGGTTACTATTTCTGTCTTTGTATGCGGTTGGTTTTTGTGACAATAGACTGCTTGATTAGGTCAAATTGACAATTAGTGCTTGTTTGAATCTGGTGGTCTAGTCTGCACGATTGATCTGTTGACTTTCCATCAACCAATTATAGCCAATTTGACCAGTTTGACCAATTTGACCAATTTGACCACAGTCAAATTGGTCAAATTGGTCAAATTGGTCTAGTTACACAAATTTACCTAAAGTATAAAATTTATTTTATTACTAATTGTCAAAAATAAATGTCGAAAAGCATTTCACGCATGTGATATATTTATTGTTAATTGGAAGTAGTACCAGATATTATACTTTATTATTCGGAATGTACATGAAATTTTAAAGATACTACACAAAATGGCAGGATTCTGCACGTGGATAGAAAGGTTTGGGTGCGAATCTCGCTTCTTGTCTGTAGGATACTATTTCTATGTGTGCGGCTGGTCTTTGTATCCAACCTGATAATGGAGTAATGATTAGTAATTATTTAATGAGTAATCCAAACTGAGCAACTGATTAGATTATACTTATCTGAATGCATGTGCTTTCTCATGCGTTGACTTTCAATTAATTTGAGTTATTATTAATTATAGTCAATTTGACCAGTTACATTATTTATAAAGAGTATATATATAATTCAAGTGTAAATCACATAAACGATTCATTATCATAATTAAATTTTAAGTATGCCTCAAACCTATACTCATAGATTAACAAGATATGTTTACATGCAAAACGAATTGGGTCCAGCACAAAAGACTAAAAGAGCTATATGTAAAGCTTGTGAAGCCAAAGAAAAAATATTTGAAAAAGGAAAAAACAAAGGTCTTAAATTATAGGAAGTTTATCAAAAATGGAGATTTTTTAATAGATGGGATCGTGTACAACGGCACTGAAAGCGATGTCCATATTGGTGTGAATTTTGGGTTGAAGAAGACCAGGAGTTAATGACATATGAAGACCCTGATGAAATGATAGCACAAAATGCAGTTGCAGCACTAAGGCATGCGAGAGAACGAAATAATTCTTCGGCTATGTCTATTAGTTCGATAAATCCTAATACTAGATAAAATATTAAATAATTTAAATCCTAATGATTTAAATCCATTTTATATTGAATTTTTTATAATTTAAAACATCGTAACTGATATTAGTATCATAATTAATAATGCTAATGTGGCAGGGACACAGAAATATTTCGAAATCGAAATTTTGATTAGAAACCATAGAGCACTGCATAAAGTATCCACCGAAAATAATACCCTACCACATAAAGTACCCGTCTTCTCCACCAATAAAATCACTGGATTCGTGAATAGTACCTGGTACTATTCAATTTTAAAAATGAGATTCTTGAATAAGACTCCGGGTACTTTATGCAGTGCTCTATGGTATATCTCAACTGCTTGACCAAATTTGATATTTTTTTAGAAAGTCTACAGACTGTAAAATTCAAATAAAAAAAAACTTTAACAAATTTGGTCATGTGGTTTTTGAAATATATCTGATCAAAATTTTAATTTCGAAATATTTTCGTATCTCTGTAATATGGCTATTATTGACCTTTTTCAGTGGTTTAGACTTTTTTCAGCAATGTTATAGTATTGTCTTTTTACTAAAGCTTCAGTATTACTATATGGGATATAGTAATGAAAAGGGTCTAAATCACAAAAAAAGACCATTATAAATATTTGTAATAATTTAGATACAGTACACCCTCTCAAATCCAATAGGCATGGTGGACAGCTTCTGTATCGGTTTTGAGATTTAAGATACCACTTGCTGGTCACGTGATTATAAATAAATATAATTGGCTAGATTATATTTATTATATATTACTTAGTCACACAAAGCTCGACTTGAGCCAATCAAATTGATTTATATTGTCTGACAAACCCGATATCTTATAGGTATCTGATCATTTTGATATCAGTTATCAGAAAAGGCAGAGTATCGGGTTTGAATTATAGAACAGACATAGTGGATCGATTTTTTATTGGATATAACAGGTTATCAGTTTTGGCAGGATCGGTTTTGGGAGGGCATACTGTACTTTTTTATAATGGTGCTGAAGTCAAAATTAACTAATTAGATGCAGTAATTCTAGCTTCAGCCATCAATACTATAATCAATGATGTTTTAAAACATTTCAAAATAAGTTAATAATCATAAAAATTATTTTTTGCTATTCCTAATACTAGGGTTTCAAGTGCATTAGAATTAACATCAGTATCACGTAATCAGTCAGGTAAGATGTCACATGTTAGTATATGTGAGTGTCAAATCATAGTAAAAACGTAGATCACATTTCGGGAATTTACTATTAAATTTTTAGAAAAATTTTATTCGCTCTTAAGTAAACCACATGACCCTCAAGAGATATAAAAATAATTTTCTAATAACATTATTCTATGGGGTTTTCTTTATCAATAACAAGAATTTGAAACAAAACACATATGTAAACGGGAAAGGATCTTGGGCTCAAAGATTGATAACTATTCAGAATTCCAACTATAAGAAAATTATAAGGAGATCTCAAAACGTAGTAACTGGCCGTGTTTCACACAGAAGTTTCGGGATTAAACCGTTGCTCTGTTATAGTAACGCTTCTTCAAACCACTTTTGTCAAGATTTTGCTTAACGCAATAGATAAACTCCTCAAGATCTTACAGGTAATGGAGCTCAAACGTGGCTAAAACTGGTCTAATATTGTCTTTTTTTTTTTTTTCGTATACTATGTTCTTTTTTTCTCGGTTCAAACTAACGTTTTTTGTAGTCTTTGCTAGCAATAAAATAGTATCGAAGGATAATTAAATGCAGCTAGTGACCGGAACTGAACCAAATATAAGTACCTTTTTTTTTTTTTTTTCTACTAAAACTACTTTTTTTTTGTCAATCTGCTTCGTCATGAAGTTAGCACTAAATGAACGTGGCTGGGAACTTAAAACTGGTCTAATGATAAGTACCAGTTCTCTTTTTTCTTAGATTACGTTGTTTTCTTTCTTTGAGATAGAAACTAACTTTTCTTTTTTTGTATGTTGGCTTGTCATGAGATTAACACCAGGCAACGAATAAAATTGGATGCGGCTGGGAATTGGAACTGGTCTATTATAAGTACCTGTTTCTTTTTTTCTCTTGCATAATATTCTTTTCTTTTTTGGTCGAAGCTAACTTCCTCTTTTCCTGTAAGTTGGGCTTCGCTGCAAAATTAGCACCGGGCAATGGAACTGAATGCGGCTGGGGACTCAGAACTGGTCTAATTATAGATCAGTTTTTTATTCTCTTGTACTATATTGTTTTCTTTCTTTTGGTTAAGCCAATTTTTTTTTTGTTTCATCGGTTATCAGATGAAAATTGAACAATTCTTTTTTTTTTTTTAATTATTCAAGATTTAGGTTTCGAAATAGTTTAGAGTTTAAACTTTTTTGAATTGAGACTCTTTCGTTTCAGATTAGTATTTTCAAGACTAGTTTCGGGAAGAATTCATTTTGGATCACGAGTATTAGTAATGCGATCAAGAATATAACGAAGAGCAAGGATTAGCAAGCCTGATGCACAAGAGTTAGGAAGGCAAACCACTAGGCATATTTAACATTGTTCAGCGAAAATATCTTAATAGTTAATAAAAATTAGTGTTTATTCAAATGTGTATTAAATATTATTCTATCGATGTCGTTTCATTTATTATGTTCACATTTATAAATAGAAATGTATCGTTTATTAAACTTAAATATCATACTATACATGAATAAAAAACAAATAAAAATTAACAGATAATCAGTTATAATGAATTTTTTTTTTTTGATTCTATTCGATCTATAATATGGTTATAAATTCTAGTTGTAATTTTCTGATTCGTACATGTTAAAGTTCTGATATCGTGAATGTGTAATAATAAAGCCTCAATCTAAGACGCATGAAATCTAAATAGAATTATATGCATAAAATTCATGCTTTAAGAAAAACAAAACACTTCATTTGAAACGTTGTTACCCTAAAAGTTACCCAGTTTATGGCGTAGTAACCTGGGTACTTCGAATTGATAAGCATGGGATCGTATACTTTCGATCGTCCATATCACCATACGAGTATATGAAAGTATGGGTCCGATGATCCTGAGATTAATCGTATGAAAGTAGTGCTTCCCCATAGCATCTCATATAGATAATATGAAATAATCGTTAGAGAATGAAGTGATCCATAGTAGAATAGAAATAGATAAATACTTAACTTTGTAGATTATAGTCTTCTCACGATGTATATAAGGCCTCTTACAATGCCTTAGACTTCGACTCCTCAACCCTTTAATAACTAAATAGTTGAATTCTCACCTCTTTTATATTCTTCTTTTATTATTATATCTAATAAAAATACTACTTCGTGTCTTCATACACGAATAACACCTATAAATCCAAATCGTGTTAATACTGTGTTCACGTGACATCGTGAAAGGAAGAACCCAAATTTTACAAAGTGTTCAAGAATAATTAAATTGCACAACCTTGATATCTTCATATATCATAGTGTTGTTCGCCTCTTTCAAATAAAGCCTTGTATCCTCTGTTACGTCCTATTTTGACGTTATACTAACCATTAATATCCCTATAGTTATAGTCTTCACACTACAACTAACACGTCCCTTGAATCTTTTAGAGAGGTAGATTCGAGTGTGATAACGTCTTATTTAAAAACGAATCTTCTAAAGTGAATTATATAAATTAATTAGCGTTCGATTGAATCAATTGCCTATAAATAAATAAGAATTTTCTCCATCAGACATTACCAACAAATTACAAATTATACCTGCAAAGCAATACTTAACATTAAATTTTTTTTTCATAAAACCTTGTTCTGTTATTAACAATGGAGGATTATTACGATTATTCTACGGATGAAGATTTAGGAGAAAGTTTTAGCACCAACCAAGATGAACCGTTATTCGTTCATGATTATCTGGCTGCTATGAAGGCAAGAGGTTGGTTAGAAGAGCAAGTTCCTTTAGAAATACAAGATGATGATGATGACGATGATAATGATGATTCATTATCTGAAGATGAAGATGGGCTTATGGATCGCAAATTTTCAGATGTGGAAGAAAATAAACAATCGCCTTGTGTTCTTATTGATAATTTTAAAGGAGAAATTAGACGCTGTAATTCAACACATCAGCTGAGATCAATATCTCAATTAGTAGGAACTTGGGAAGTAGAAATGACACAGGAAGAAAATTCTAATGTAAATACCTTAGGCGTTTGTTCTAGTCATTTTAATTTCGATCAAAATAAACTTCATTCGCCTCATGCCAAAAGAGCTAGAGACCTCAGTCTGAGTGTAATTAAACCAAAAAAATGCTTGCTCTGCAATAAATATAAAAATTTTTTTAGTAGAGGTAATGATTGCGGAGAACATAATTGGAATATCTGTGGAAGAAATATTCAAGTACCATGTGTCGGCTTAAAATCGTGTCCTGCTTTTCAAGAAATTTCAAATATCGCCTCAAGAATTACTAATGGCTATCGTGTTCGATACATTTGTACAAAATGTTTTGAGAGCAATGGTGGGCATGTCCATAAGCGTGAAGGAAAAAAAACCAAAATATGTGTCAATAATCAATTGCATAAAGACGATACTAGTCAAGTTTTAAAATTATTCTCGCAATGGTTATCAAACCTTTCATATTCTGAAAATGAGAATCAAAAGAAAGAAGTATTATGGCATATGATGAAATTATTAGAAAATCCCGAATCAAATACGCCATTCTCTAAAGATACAATGGATTGTTTACCTAGTCCTCTACTTGTAAAAATTGCTATGAAAATTAAATTATTTAAAAATTATCTACCTACGGATAAAAAGTATATAAAAGAAGATGAATATAGGCAACATGGAGAAGCATTAGGAAACTTCATATGTAACTCACGTAAAGATATTGAACAACATCGTAATAGTTTAGAAAATCCAAATTCGTTAGATGAATATTATAATAGCTTTCCTTTAGCGCTTACTAGTTTTTTTAATGGATTGGTTGAGTCTATCGAAAAACATAAGCATGCAGTTAGAGAAAGAAAACAAAGGCAACGTGGAAAAAATGCACCAGAGTTTAATAAAGATGCTATTAAAAAAATTACCGTATTTTTTTCATCAATTATTTTAACAATCGCTTTTCGTTCATGGAAAATTTGGCTTACTTATACAATGTCTTCATTATGTAAAAAGCCAAAATTAATATCTTCTTTACAAGCAATACTTCATACGGTATATATAACATCTCACACATGGAGACACGAATTAGTACTAGAAAAAGAGCGTGTTAGTAAATATAATCCATTAACAAGAATAATAAAAGGGCCAAATGTTTGGAATGTTGCAGTAATTGATAATATTGATTTTAAGGATATTGTCTTTCAGTACGGCAATATTTATAATGTCACCCGGCGATCTGCACACGCTACTCTAAGACTGATATTTCAGTTCGAACTTCCATTCAGTTTGTCAAGTCTTGTCCAAGAAAACCAAGATCCAGAATCTCAAAAAAACCTGTTTGGTAAATCAGCATTTACAACCGAATGGGAAATAACATTTGACCAAATAATAAACCAATTATTAAATAAAAATGGAAGAAAATTTGGAATTAGAGAAATTGATGTAGAAATATTAGCTAAAATTGAGAAAGGATGTCGAGTAAACCCACCGAATCTTGTTATACTAGAACCTGGACCAGCACCTAACAGTAATGAAGCAGTGTTCGAGTCAATTGATATGTTTTTAAAAGATCTTGGTCAAGATGTTATTGATATAGCGTGTGATGCAGCTATTTTTGGAAGAACCAAATCATATAAAAATAATAATTTAACTTGCCGATTTATTCTTGGGCAGTGGCATACATCAAAAGCTATGTGCAGTGCTTTGATCGCCGCATTTAGTGGATATGGTTTATATAGTTTAGCTGCAAAACTCGGTGTTAAATTTCTTGATAAGCTAGAGCAAAATGTAGATTATCGTTCAACGTGCAATGTATTAGAGTTAATACATGCTGCTGTAGGTATAGCGATTCATATTCACCTAAATAAAAATAATATAACACAAGACGAAGTAAATAACATAGATGAAAATGCTATAATGAATGGAAATAATAATGCCTTAAAAGTTTGGTTTTTGTATTATCGTTTAGCTGGGTATTGGAAAGCTCATCGTGCAGGAATTCGTACAGGAAATTTAGATATGCAATTAAAAAATTTGGCGGCGTTTGCACCTTTATTTCCTGTCACTGGTAAAAATAATTATGCAATGTCAGTAACATTCTTTTTAGAATCAATATCACGCCATCCACAGCAATATGAGTTACTCAAACATGTTGCTTCAGTAAACATTACTAGAGAGAATCACTATTTGGCTTTCGACGAAGCCCTAGAACAATACGGTGTTAAATTTGTAAAACAAAACTTAACTTCTGGCATATCGGATCCAGTGCTTTTAAAACAACGAATTGCAGCAATTCAGGATGAACGTGAAAGGATTCTAATGTTGTATAGTGAATTTGTAAATGATAATGTAATAATTCCAAAAGACCGGTCAGTTAAACAATATACGGAAGTTTTATGGGAACTTGTTGATGAACTTACTTGTGCATTCGATTTGATAAATCCAAGACAGCATAATCTCTTTAAATATGCACAAGAAATGAGCAATAAAGGTTATACACGAATGTTCGCTTTCTATGAAATCGGGCTTGATCGATTAAATAAAATTCTGCAGGAAGAAGTATATAAAACTAAAAAGGCATCTAAAGGAAGAAGAACTAAAAATATAATTAGTCTTTTAGCTAAAGAATATCAATCGCTGACAAAAAATGACACATAACTATAGATAATCCGAATAGCTTGTTTTTCTTAAAAGGAGCTGGATAACAAAACCAGAATTTTTTTTTTTAATTTTGTATTTTCTTTTTTAAACAATAAAAATATTAATTAAAAAGTGACCGTTATATAGTATAAAACTTATAAATCAACTTTTGCTAATGCATTAAAGTCATTACTATTTACCTTGTATTTCCTTACTATACTATATTTATCATCAACGTCTTTATGCTATTTGATAACAGCATCCGGGTCGTATTGTGCCTTTGAATTGCCATATTCAGCACTTTTCAAATACTATTCAAACGCTATTCAAACGCTATGTTATCATCCTAAAATACTACTCAAATATATTATTATCAACTACAGCAGACCTCAGCTTATCGTTCACATTGTCCAAGCCCGAGATCTCCAAAGCTAAAGTGAAAGATTTAGTTAATAATCGCAACTTGCCACTAAAAAATAGTTCTAACTTAGTATAAAAAAAAAGAATACAAAGATCTCTAGAATCAAATTAGAAAAAAATGAAATCAAAAGTTATAAAACAAGTTAAAGCAACGTAGATTGACGAAATGGTGGAAGCAGAAGGTCTAGGAAAATATGAAGACGTCTGAAAATAGATCTGTATCGAAAAAAAGACTTGGTAAAGTTAAATGAACGTTGATGATCTATATATTTATATAGTAAAAATTTTTCAACTCACTATATTTTAAAAATTTACTAATGAAACTTACATTACGCTTATAATTAACTATATAGCCCATAGTTTGTACTAGCTTGTAATAAAAAAAGATCCAGTAAAAGTTAGCTTCGTGAAAAGGATCTAGGCGATAAAGACAAAATCTACGCTCTTCTTTGTCTTCTAATATTTAAAGACAAAAAAGAAATTAAATAAGTAAAGCGCTATAAATAAATATAATAAAGCTCGCAGATTAAGTTTTATTAATTCAAGAAGATTAGGTATTTAGAGGGTTTTGTGGGTTTTCTTTGCACAAACCGAAAGTATGTATAAAATTCTTGTGTAACGTTACTATGTAAGATCAGTCAGTGTGACATCTTACCTGACTGTAATGTTAAATGAATGCGAACAGACCAAAAAAAGAACACACTTTAGATACTTATTTTGGTCATCCATCACCAACTAATGATCAACATGAATTTAATCGTCTACTTCTTCGTATGATAGTCGAAAATAGTCTTTCATTCTGATTTGTTGGGAGTAAGACTTTTCATGAACTCATTGCTTTTTTTAATACAACTATCAAAGTTCCAAACCAACATACAATTAGTAATAAAATTTTTACTGAATATGCCCAAAAAATAGATAATTCTCAAATATCCACTCTTTCAGAAACGCAGAAACCCGTTACAATTATGTTTGATGGCTGGAAAAATGTGTGATATCAAGAAATTTTAGGTGCAGTTATTCTTTCAGCATCAAATAATGTATTTATATGGGGTGCTAAAGATGTAAGTGGTGCTAACCAAAAAACAGCCAATGTATTAAACACAATTCAAACTTTTTTAAAAAAGGCAAAAAACCAAAATCTAAATGTAGTAGCTATGGTCACTGATAGCATATCATCATATACCTCAGCATGGTATGTTATTGATTCTAATTATACCTGAGGTTCCTTACCTTAACTATTTTATTAAATAAGGTAAAGGTGGTATTCTGGCATTTGTTAATAGTGAAACTCAAATAAAAAAAAAGCAAGTTAACTTGTATTTACACAACTTTTATTAGTGAAGTAACTTCAATGCTCAGGAGGTAAAGTAGTAGCAAATTGATAGATCAACATAAAAAATTAACAATCAGCCGTCGCAGTATTAGTCACTCTAATCAAAGGATATTTTTTGTACAATTATCTTGCAACCTACTGATAAGAATTGAGTATTTTTTATATCATTCGATTTGCCTTGGTAAGATGAATCGAATGGTTGAAAAATCTAAGCATTTATTATCTTTAATATAATTTGATCTATCGCTTTACTCACCCATCATAATACCTCTTTGCCTTATATTAGTAATATTCTAATTATACCTGAGAAAATTAGAATAGGTGTTATTTATCACTATTTTTGTGATTTTTAATTATTTATTTTTATTTATTATTAGACGTAAAATACGATTACAAAGACCAGACATCATATTTTTACCTTGCTTTGCGCATCAAGCTAATTTATGCATTGGAGACATTTTTAAATGCTCATCAGAATACAAACGTACCTCAGAACAAGCAATTGATATTGTGGCATACTTTACTGATAAAAGGCATTCAAAAGCAATTTCTTCGCTTCATGAAGAACAACGAAGAATTTATAAGACATCTTATAGTTTTGTATGCCCAGTAGTTACACACTAGAACTCTTACTATTACTGTTTTGCCACTCTTCTTAGAAGTAAGCAGGCCCTACAATCATATTCAATTTTATATTTAAATTCAAATGAATTATCAAATAAAGCACGATCTGCAATAAATAACCAAGCTTTTTGGGAAAATACTTATGAGATCTCAGATTGCTTGTTACCTTTTGTTAGTATTCTGGATTATCTTCAGCGTGATGCTGCAAATCTTTTTGATATTATTTATTCATTTGTATATATAGCACAACAGTATGAAGATAAATATGATGAATTTAGCAATGCAATATTACAGCAACTTGAAAAGCGTTGGGCCGATTGGGAACAACCCTTGCTTTTTTTAGCAGTTATATTTCATCCACACTTTTGAGTTCAGGCTTTTTCAAATGCAAAATTTTTTAGTCTTGAGCGAACAGCTCATTGGATTAAGTATTACTATGAGATGTGGTTCAGTGAAAAACCCAACCATATTACATTAGAGTTAACAGAATATTACATGAAGCGAGGCATTTTTAATAATGAACAGTTTGATAATACTGTTAATGCGATTTTAGCAACAAATAATGCACCAAGTATGAAAACTAATGATGTAATGGGGATGGCCTTACTGCGATATTGGGAATTCGCTGCAATTGACCAAAAGAAAATCGGCAAAGTCGCACATTGATTATACAGTATTAAAGTCAACTCAGCTTCATGTAAACGTCTTTTTTCCCATATGGGAAGGTTTCATAACACACAGCGAAATCGTCTTAAAGTAAGAATTAAATTATTAAATAATTGTTGCTATATTTTACTACCAATAAGTACTATATTTTGGTACAGGTCCTTGCTCACTTATTGTTATGATTATTTTTTGGTTTATTTTATGCGTTTTACAAATTCTTTTTTATTTAACTTTTTGGATAATTGAGTATATGCAAAAATTTGTTATATAGAAAAATATAACTGACTTAGATCAGCTGCTTATGCAACTGATCTTATCAGTTACACTTTTTTAATTACTCAAGATGTAGTTATTACATACTAGAGTTTGGAACCGGGTTTATTTTCCATATGTAAAACCAGTTTTAACATATGAAAAATAAACCTGGTTTCAAACTCTATTACATACTTATCATATGATAACCTTAAAAGTCACAAGTTGAAATCAAAATGCGCATTCTGAAGTTAGGATTTTATATAGTATTTATTATTGTGAAATGTAATGTATATGAGCAATGCAGTGTTGGCCAATGATATAAGTAATAACATTTTTTCAATATGACCTTGGTCATATAATCATATGATGTTTTGGTCATAAGTTATATCAGTCATATCAAAGATTAGCAAAAAAAATTTTTACTATGAATCTTACAATATTAAAAGGTTATAAAGTCATATCAACTTTCGTTATGACCAAATAACCAACAGGTAATAAAGGTTATATAGGTAAGATCATTGGCAAACACTGAGCAGATGTGCATATGCTTGGTGCCTATCTCTAATTGTAGGTTTTATTTTACGATCAATGATAGATATTTTTTGATACATATACTGTAATGCAATAAAACTAGAAATGTAATATGGATAATTAAGTTCTAACAATTATAATCTTAATATTTGCTTTACAGTTAAAATCGGTTTTTCAGATGGCACAAATTGCAGCAGATATGGCATGAGAAGAACGTCTAGAAGATATTAAAAAAGTTCAAACAACAGCTACTATGAATCAAATTATTGGTTTAATTAATAATGAAGGACAAGCATCACATAATAAGCAATCAAAAGCTGGCACGCTTAATTTAAGTGATATTGTACATGTTTCAATGCTTGACGATAGTGAAAATTATAGTGAAAACTTTCCTGAAAATGCTAATAATGAGAGTGTTGAAATTAATACACCTGACAGTGATATTGATACTGATGATGACTCGATATGCAATGAATCAGTTATTAAAGAATGGACTGAAACTAATAACGAAGACGAAAATGAGAAATTTGAAGAAATCAGTGTAGAAACATTAGATACTGCTGACATACTTAATTGTCATCCAGTTAATCATGAAAATTCAAAACTAGAACTTCAAAATATTTTTTCGCGTTTCTTACCTCCTCCCTCATTTGTTCGTACTCTTCAACAAGATATGGACAATATTGAAGTACCATAGTAAATATATATGCAAAAAGTCACTAGTCTGGAATTTGGTCTAACAAAGATATCATTAAGTCTTATTAAAGTCAACCCTCTTTATAATGAATTAGTGGTTCTTATAGTTGAAAATTTAATAAATAATTAAAAAGTTCGTTATAAAATGAGTGCATTAGAATTAGTGAGTGTGTTATAAAGGTTCACTATATTCAGGGTTATATAAAATTGGTAGTTAATAGTTAAGCTAAAAAGCTTATTATCTGTCTGTCTAAATGGGATTCAAAATATCAGGTCGAAGCATCATGAAAATAATTTATATATTATTAAGTTAGGTAGTTTTACCATTTGAGTTAAAAGTTCGTCATTTTGATAGATACATCAATTATTTTTGAATGTATTAAATTTGTTGACCGTACAATGATTAGCACCAGGAATTTTAGATAGTTTTTACTGTAAATGAGTGAGAATTACGAATTAACAGATGCTCTTAAATGTTTTAAAACCATATAATTTAAATAATAATTCATAAAGTTTATTATTTAGTTTATACTCAGTATTCTGAAAGTAATTTGTTATAATCGAAAGCGTATAATTTAATTGTATTCGCTTTTGCATTTTGCATGTCATCCTAATATAAAGCAGTATTCTAAAAAAGAACTAGTTTGCTTGTTGAAGAATACCCTATCATGAAAGCTATCACATCTAAACAATCTTCGAGTCTTGTTATACAACGAAAGTTTCACAATTAAACTTTCGCTGTGTAACCAATATACTTTCGCTTGACTCGTATATACTTTTGTGTAATATTTAATAGTTTAAGAGAAGTATAAAGTATACTTTAATTAGACTTTAAATGGTACATAGTTTATTTTAGAGTTTATTTATGAATATATATAAAACGATATGTATATTAGTTAGTTAGATTGGTCTTTTAGTTTTTAGTTAGTTTTTGTATTTCGGGTTATTGTTTGGACACTTAGTAAGTTTGGAACTTGCTAAGTAGTTTTGAAATAAGTGTGTTAGTACTATTAGTGTGTCTGAGACACAATATAAGAACATTGGTTTGATACTTTCTGGTGCCGTTTGTGATAATAATCCAGTTAGTTCATTTCTTGTTAATGATTACGGCCCTCAGTTAAATTGGCAAGTAGATACGAAGTCTCTCCATTGGCTGTAACAGTCTCTACCATTTACGCAACAACCACTTTTCTGATAATGAAATCCTGACAAAATTGATTGAAACCAACCCTAACCCACTTAATGAGTGCTAACTTGTCGAGATTTTTACATTGTTGGGAAGTGGTTGTCGGAAAAATGGTAGGATCCCATGCTCTAATCATTGTGTCCGATTACCAAAATATTTGACCTTGATCTGGTGCTTCTCATTTATAGACAATCGTTTTACAGACAACTTAGTCTACAGACAATTAACCCCAAATAATCAGAATGCTACTGGTAGATGGTAGCTGCCAGTATCTACTCATGCACATTATTAACCTATCGATATCTATTGGTATATACCACTAGATATTGGTGGTAAATACCTACTGATAACTATCAACTCACATCACTAACTTACAGACAAGATTATTTTACCAACGTTTAATTCACAGACAAGTTCAATTTATAGACAATTTTATTTTATCAACAACATATTTCACAAAGCAATTATGGTTATTGTAGGTTTAGAATTAAGGTTAGTGTAATTTATAATAAAAAAACTTGTTTGTGAAATAAACTATTAGTAAAACAAGCTATATATTAACTTGTTTGTTGCTAAAATAATTTATCTGTAATAATTATTAGTAAATTAAGTTGTCTATTATCACAGCAAAAAATAATATTTTTGAAAATCTAATCATAAATCCTGTTATAAAGAAATCTAAAATATTACGAAGAAAATAGCAAAAGTAAATAATCAAACTATTTAGTAAAAATTTGTATAATTAAATTCTCTAATTTTATTTGACCAATTTATCAAACCAGTTTGATCAAAGATTTTTGACTATTGACTAACAAATTTTGATTGCTCAACTCTAATTTACTTAATAAAAAAATATTTTTTAATTTGTGGTCCGCCTATAAACCAGTGACAAAACATAGTAAAAAGTGGAAAAATTTACTATTGTCTTTGGAATCTGGAGTTTCCCAAAGAAAAAGTTTTTCTTTACCAAGTAAACCTCTTTTCAATGTCTAAGTAAAGTTGTAGTGGAGTGTCTTGCAATCAGAATGACGATTAAAATGTTAAAATCGGTATAGTGGATCATGAGATATAGGCATTTTAGTCTTCATGACTATATGTTTTCTTCTTTATATAAATAAAGAAGAAAGCATATAGTCGCGAAGACTAAAATGCTTATATCTTGTGATCTACTAGACCGATTTTAACATTTTAATCATCATTCTGATTGCAAGACACTCCACTACAACTTTACTTAGACATTGAAAAGAGGTTTACTTGGTAAAGAAAAAACTTTCTCTTTGGAAAACTCCAGATTCCAAAAAAGACAAAAAAATTTATACAATTAAATTCTTTAATCTGATTGGTTAGGCTATTTGACCAATTTGACCAATATAAATTTTTTTGACCAGACTGGTCAATTGGTCAAATTGGTCTGGTCAAGCTTGACCATTGACCGGTCCATGCCAACCCTGAATATAATATAGAACGGGGTAGATAAACAATAGGAGATAAACACTATAAGAGACAAAACGCTCTGTGATTGGTTTGTTTTGTTTTTGTTACACAGATCTTGAATCTTGAACGGGGTAAATAAACAGAAATAGATAGACATGATCTGCGATTGGTGCTTTTTGTTATGTTTTTGTTATGTTACACAGATTATATAGAACTATTATACTGCAATACTATACTGAACTATCTACCGTGCTCAACGGCACGGGTGTTTGCTAGTTTTGTAAAAGACCCAGTATGTTAAACATGTTAAACCCCGAATTTATAAGCGTGACAAATAAACCAAATCGGTGCCATCATATATGACCTTGGTACAAGACCCGAATAGTATATCCAGGGATATAAATCTAAAAAACCAGGAACTTGTTGTAAATCCACCTTTTTAATTTTATTTTTATCCAGTGTAGATTGTAAAAGACCTTAGCTACTCTCAATGACGAAATATGATATTAATTAAAATCTGGACGTTCAACATGTTTGCTTACTAGAACAAGCACTCGAGTTAATAAGTATGAAAAAAATAATACACCAATATTTTGATTGGGTAACATTCTAACCTGTGGCTACTGGATTAGCATTTATTGGTTTGGGAAGATTTTGATAATTAAAAGGTCGACTTGTATAAATAGCTTGTTTGTGTGTCTGATAGTTGAGTCGTATTGATGTGACTTGATTTGAATTGTTGCCCGAGTCTTTAATTTCTTTAACTTGCTT